AGTTTTGTGCTCCTGAAGACTCACGTTAGAGGGAGCACACTGCCTATTCCTGACCCTTCCAGTTTGCTGGCCTGTTCTGAACGGGTAGTTGTCCATCCCAGTCCAGTGATAAGCAGATGACATCCATAAGAAATCATAACACGTGTGTGGGATCTCAGGTGGTTTTAGAGAAATACTTGCAACAGGCAGCAGCTCCTGGTGACTCTCCAGCCTCTTCTTCTGGGAAGAAGAAATGCAGTTCTGCTTGTCATTCTGGAGAGACAGGTGCACCAGCAGGACCTGGTGAGGACCTCAGCACTGATAAAAATGGATTTCTGAAGTTGCTGACTTCAGTCCCTTAGCAATATTAAGCATTTGGCTTAAAAAGCACTAGTAATAAAGGAAGCCCTACCATTGTCCATCTCTTGAATGAAACAGATGCTTAATGTTGTGGTGGCCAAACCTTTTATTTCAATTGCTTTAACTAGTGGATGGGTTTCCCCTCTTGAAGATATAAAAACTTTCAAGTAAACAGTGATTCTCCCTCAGATGGCAATGGAATAACAGCCCATAAGTTCTGGCCAAGGGAGAGGGGCTGTAACAAAGAGGATTTGAGACATTCTGAGTTGTTTGTTTTGTTGTTGTTTTTTTTTTTTTACCAGTATGAGAAAACAGCATCTCTATAGAATCAGCTGGAAGTCACTTTTAAGCTATTGTAAGACTGGTTTGAAATCCATGCTACTTAAGATGAATAAATGCAGGTTTTCTACACATGTCTTCAAATGTTTTATAGTTCGGATTTTGGACTTTTTACACAGTTGTAATAAAATAAAATTACTTTTTATTATTAATAATAATGATTTCTGTGTTATAACCTTATTTGAGAATCTTGGGGTTCTAGGAAATCTTGAACAGGGTACCTCAGTTTTGGTATAACATCCCAAGAGATGGGATGTACTCATGGCTCTGCTGTTCTCTTGAACAAAAATCAGTGTGGAAGTTCTTGAAATGCTAATAATCAGTTTTGATAATGGGATTTCAGGTATGTTTTTGTGTGATGCTTGGACTTTTCCAAACCTCTGTTGACTTGTTATTATTATTACCCTGGGAAGGAAGTATTTTATTGGCTACCTGTGATTATGTGAAAGGACAGGCCATGTTTCTTGCCTTCCTTACAGCAAAATGCACTTGCCACCTTCCCTGAGACATAGGTCCACCAAATGCGTGCTCCAGTGTGCAAACTCTGCTGGAGGACCCCCACTTTCTACCACTAACTTCTACTGCATCCCATTTTTCGTGTTCAGCTCTTTCCCTGCATCCTCACCTTGTCTGCCTTGCCTACAGGTAAGCCACATCACAGATTTCCCCATTTCTCCTGAATTACCTCCCATAAGGTGCTAACCAACACTGCGCTGAGAAGCCTCATGGAAGAGAAGGAGACCTATTTTAGAGGCTACCATTTTTCATTACTGTTTGGTCACCAAGGAAATCTCCTCTGACAAAACCCTAGTTATGGATAAAGAAAATACTCAGCTTCCCAAATCAAATGATGTTCCAGTGAATGTATTAACACATTCATAAGAATGGTTTTGCAACAGCAAAGCTTTCTGGCATAGCATGTATTCTGTACACATTATTCACTACAGTGGAATGTTGTAAATGAAACTGTAAAAATGTAAACAAGCAATAAAATATGATTTTTAACTTAGGACTCTAAGGGCTGTAGTGAATTTCCAGACCTAGGGATGCATCATTCTGCTAGACGTTATTAGGCTCTGAGCTGCAGTAAAGTGCTGTGGAAAGTTAAGGCTTTGCAGACTGCAGTGCAGTTTAAACAGTGTTATGAAGCTGTAGTATGTTTTTGCCAGCCTCTGGATGATTTCAGAGTGTACATGAGAGCAGGTTAATTAAGCATGAGTCATCTTATTGAATCTTGCCTGTCTGAATGAAGGACTTAAATAATCTTTAAAATGTGATTTCGCATACAAGAGCAGACTGTCAGCAAGCAGCAGTGCTCTGTGAGTGAGCAGACAAGTCTCACTCTTCAGGAAACCAGGTAAGTAATTATGGATTTGCTGTCTGTCTGCTGTGTTTTCTTCAGGGTGAGCCTGCTCCTGCCAAAGCAGCATTGTTGACTTTTGCTGCAGGTTGTGAACCAAAAACACATAGTTTCTCAGTAGCGGATGTTTTTGGATTTTCAGCCCTGCACAAGCAGTCTAGGCTCAAGAACTTAACTGATGCCATTTCCCAGTTCTTCAGCCAAACTGGGCTTTCCATCTTCCCAAGATATGTACGTGGTCGTGCAGCAACTGGGCAGCTCTGTGCTTTCCCATGGCCTTGCACTGCTGTTGATGATGAGTACAGCCCTGGAGAGCAGCTCCCTCCTTTTGCCCGTTTGCTTTGTGACTTGTGTTGATTTTAGGGGAAGCGTTCTCTGGAGGCTGTTATCCACAGTGCAGCTGTCTTTCTGAGCCATAACACATTACATTTTACATCTAAAAATGTGTGTGGAAGAGGAAAAAGAACAAAATTGGGTGTAATGTTGGTGTGAATGCTGCATTTCAGCTGGGAAAAAAATTTAAAGGGATTTTCCTTATGTATGGAAGTATAGATGAGATGGGACCAGTAGCAGCTCCAAGTCTGGTAGGTCGTGCTCCAAAAGCAAAGGGTGAAGATGAGGAAGAGCCTCCATAGAAGTCTGCTGAAACAGGCAGAAGTTCCCAGTGTGATTTATTCGTCAGAGGAAGTCTGAGTGTCTCTGCGTATCATCTGTCAGTGCTTCAGTTTCTTTGTTATCTCTTGGTTATGTTGATGAAAAATGTTTCACTCAGTTCGTGAATAATTGAAAAAATATATTTACCAAATTAAGGTTGTACTGAGTTGAGATAACTTGTTTGAAAAAAAAATGACCTCTGGTGGAACAGGAAGCACAATCTTTAGTTTGGGATCCGAATATACTTTCAATCTCTACTGCTTAACCTGAGAAATAACTTCAGAAGTTTTCAGCCCAACCTAATCTGAGCAAACATGAAATTCTGAGTTGTTAACTCACTTAAATTATTGATCTTTTCCAGCAACTTAAGTAATTTCAGTTTTTAGAAGTAAAGCAATAGTGTAAGTAAGGAGAACTGTCCAGTTTCATTAGGCAAGGGGTGTGAGCCATATGTTGGGGAATATCTGCAAAGTGCTAACTTTTCACAGGCCTCTGGGACCTTCTGAAGTCAGTTAATGCTTTGCAATTGACTTTAATCTATGTCAGGAGAAGTCCTTGAAGGGGTGGGCTTGAAAATGGGCTCCTGAATGATATTTTGCTGGATGTCTGAGTAGATTGCTACCAGGCTTTCAGCTGCGATAGAGTTAAATGTCTTTCGAGGAGCTGGTGTAGTGCTGTGTTTTGGATTTGAGATGAAAATAATGTTGATAACAAGCGGATGTTTTAGTTGTTGCTGAGCAGTGCTTAGAGTCCAGGACTTTTCAGCTTCTCACGCTGCCCTGCTAGTGAGCAGGTGCACAAGGCTGGGAGAGGACAGAACCAGGACAGCTGAACCAAACTAACCAAAGGAATGTCCCTTATTGTGTGGCATCACACTGAACAATAAACTGGGAGGAACTGGCCAGTGAGTGCTGCGGCTGCTCAGGAACTGGCTGGGTATCTGCTGAAAGGTGATGAGCAATTGCCTTGTGCATGGCTTGTTTAATATATTCCTGGTTTTTCTTATCCATTTCTTGTCAGTCTGTCCTTGTCTCAACCCATGAGTTCTACTGTTTCCTGTTTTTGATCCTCTCCCCCAGCACGCTGGGGTTGTGTAACACTGAGCTGCCTGCCAGCTTAGACCACAGCAACCACTCGGGGAAAAGAATGCTAAAGCCCAAGCAATTACCTGTAAACAATTTCAGCATCTTTAGCTGTTATGTTACAATTCCTTGCTGCTCTTCTTTATTTACTGAACGAATGTTTAATGTTTAAATTTACATACTTTTTTCTTCTTTTTCTCTCTGTTCAATTAGTTGAATGACCTATGTCACATCTGATTAGAAATTAGTATCAGAGAAAAAACTGCAAGGTCTGCTAAGAAAGTCCTTGTGCTGAAGATCTGAGGGCTTGTGGTGTTTTGTGGGTGAGGTCTTGCCTGGAAAGTACCTGTTGCATGTGGGTGGAAAGCAATTTCTGGCAGGAAAAGATGACCGTAAGACAGACCTTGCCTTTTTATGTTTGACCTGAAATATTACAGGATTTGTGGCCTTGATGACAGTTGTCTGCGTGCTGCAAATGTGTGGATAATTGTGATGAAAATGACAAGTGTTTATCTTAAATAGAATTGCAGTTTGGATCTGTGAAGCAAGAAGATGTAGTAAAAATAAAATCTTAGTTCACAAAGTTCCTTAAGAAACGTTATAACATAACCTTGCAGGTCCCTTAAGCTTCTGATAAGCCTTTGGACAGATGACAGCTCTCAATACTGCACAGTAAAGGCTGAATTTACTAGCCATTTCTGTATACTGAAAAATAAAGTTTCAGGCCTTAATATCCTTGAAATTTGCTTACAAAGGAAATGTTTTATAAATTAGAGAAACATGCATAAGTGATGTAAAGTGTCATAAATTTTCATCAGATGCATAGTGAATATCTGAGCTGTTGCTTAGATTGTCACTTTGATGTTCTAGATAAATTGTATGCTTAAGATTTTATTTAATTTTCGTGTCCTGAGTATGAGGTCACGTTCACCAGTTTTCTGTCTGTATTTGCATTTTGTCAGCTTCAAATCGTATTGCCATTAATACTGATCTTGGTTGCTTAGGAATCTGTTTTTTATCTTGCTGTAGTTGTGTTTTGCAAGGATGTTTTTCCGTGAGGTTTTAAATGTACATTTTTCGATGTATTATTCAGTGAAATAAGAAAAGGGGCTGCTAAGAACCAGGTGCATTTTGTGAAATGCCTTTTGGAGTGCATGAGTTGAAAATAAAATGGTTTTACTAGAGCTGGCAGCACTGAAAAGAGGGATTTTGCTCTCTGTTTGCAGGCAAATGACAAGCATGAGTCTGGAGGAGCACCAGTTTAAGTGCTGGGACCCTGTCATCTAAACTGTGTCTCCAGCTGACTTCTAGCCAGCCAAGCTTTACCGATCCTGCACCATGGAGGACTGCCTTCACACCTCCTCTGAAAACCTCTCCAAGCTGGTGAGCTGGGCCCACAGCCACGGGACCATCTGCAGCCTCATCCCCAACCTCAAGCACCTGCTGTCCGAGGGAGCCCACGGCAACCTGACCGCCATGTGGGGCTGCAGTGCTGGCCATGCCTACCACTGGCCCCTGGCTGCCACTTGCCGGGCTGGCTCTCAGGAACGCGTCTGCTTCCAGGACAGCCGCAGCTTCAACTCAGACAGTCCCAGTATGTTGGGAGTGCCCTCTGAGACACAGGCCAGCCCGCTTGAGCGTTACCCAGGCCGGCCAGGGAAGGCCAAGCTGGACTGCACCCGCACCCGTGACTCCTGTGATTTCTCCTACTGCAGTGAGCCCTCAGAGCTGGGCGAGCCGGTGGAGGAGTACGAAGACGAGGCCACTCTCTTTGACATGGTCTGCGAGTCCTCCGTCACAGATGAGGACAGTGACTTTGAGCCACACCTCCACCGCGTGCCCGGTGGCCCTCGGAAGCGGCCACCCGCTGGGCTCCCTGCTGCTGCCCAGGCCCAGCCAGCTGACGAGGGCAGTGGCGAGGTTCTGCTCAAGAAGATCAAGCAGGAGCTGCCTGAGGATTACTACATCGTGGCCAATGCTGAGCTGACGGCTGGTGCCGATGGGCCGGCCCTGGCCCTCACCCAGATGTCCAAGCCCAAAGCACCAGTGCAGGCTGGACCCTCTGGCCTGGGCCCCACCAGGGCTCTACCCCTGCCTGCTGGGCCTGACCCCGACCCGCAACACCTCTGTGCCTCCCCACCCGGCCCACCCCGGCTCCCTGTGCAGAGACCTCCCCGAGCTGCCCTGGTTTCCCCAGCCCGTGGGGCAAGCGGCGGCCCCCCAGCCGCCCTGCAGGCACCAGCCACTAGCTCCAATGCCGCTGCCCTGGGGAAGGCCATCAGCATCCCGCTGTCAGCCCTGCAGTTGCCTGGGCAGGAGGAGGCCCCAGCTGCAGAAGAGACCCTGTTGCCTGCCCCGCAGCCAGCCCCAGGGGGCGGTGAGGCAGCTGTGTCACCTTCGGTGAGCGCAGAGCCTGAGGTCAGCTCCAGCCAGCAGCAGCCCCCTGCTGCCCCTGCTGCCACCCCTGAAGCTGCAGTCCCGTCGATGCCAGGTAGGAACCTGGGTGGAAGTGGCATTCTGGGGTCCCCCAGTGTGAGGGGTAGACGGGGGATGAAGCCCGGTGTTCTTCCCTATTAGTAGAAGTTCTTGTGTACCTACTGTCTCCCTCCCTTTTTTTCATCTCTTGCTGCTGCCAGAGCAGTGAGAATTGGCCCAAATGGCAGTACTCCTGCTGAATGATTGTTGTGTGCCAGTCTGTAGGAGAGCTCAGTGTTGGATACAAGTGATTCTGAAGCAGAGGACGTATGTACCACAGTGCAGGTGATGCTGGCTTTGCCCTTCCAGGAAGTGCGTGGTGCTGTCCTGGGAGCAGGCAAAAGCAGGAGGAAGATCATGCTGTGCCTCTTTGCTGGTTCAGCCTGGGGGTGTCTGCTCAGATAGAGCAGAGTTAAATACTGGGAGGAGGTGCCTTTATTCAATTCCTGTGGCAGCTGCTTTACCCTGAAAACAATGACACTGCCTTGGTGAACCTGGGCACCCTGAAATCTGGTTGAGTCTATAAATTAGCAAGAGTCTGCAAGTCTTGTTGCCAGAAAAAAGCACTGGTTTTACTAAGTAAAATCCTACTAAGCTTTGTAAATTATGGGTGTTGTTTTAGTTGTAGCAAAGCAAATTTCTCTTTGTGACTCCCATTTCTGCATCTCTGAGAAGTTACTTTGCAGTTGTCCTGTTCTGTAATATCCCTCTTAGAAATCTCAGGCTGGTTTAGATCAGATTCTGCATATATAAATACAAAAGATATGGGATGCCTCATTTCAATCCAAATTGTGTGGTAAACCTACTTTCTCAGCATTGCTCAGTTTATAGCACATAACTGCTGTGTACACTAGTGCTGGTTCCTACCAGCTTGCAGGCTGGGGCATGCAAACACAAACGTAGGCAGAATTTTGCTGTATACATGTGTGTGCTATCTTGCTTTCAACAGATGTATTTAAAAACAAAAAAAAAGAAAAACAAAAAAAACCCACCACTAACAACAATAATGAGAAAAAAAAAAAGCTAGAAAAAAGCAACACACACACAAAACCTTCAAACCAGTTTTGTCAGTATTTGATGGGGAGAAGACCTGAAACCTTTTTATTCATGAGTGCCCTTCTCTGCTCTCAGATGCCAAACAAGGGCAGCAGCTGTTACCACTGAGGGTAATACCTTGCAAGAATGGACAGAGTACCATGGTTTCTAACCAGAACAGGGTTGGTCTGTATGTAATGTCTTGCTATGAGGACAAAATGGAGTATTTAGATTCACACCCACTGTAAACCCATCAAAACCTCATAGATTGCATAGACAGCAGCATCACATCAGCATGCTGCCCAAATTGCAGTTCAGTCAATTACATCCTTCATTCTTGAGTTTCTTGTATTCTTCTTAAAATGTGTTACATGGTTTCTCTCCTCAGCCTGGTATAGCATTGTAATACGCTGTTACTGGACTCAGATGTATCTGCATGTGAGCCAGGGTAAAATGATTGATACACAACTGTCACCTCGTACGTCTGTCAAGTCTTTAATTTTATAGATCCACCTCCTTTGGCAGGGAAGTGCTGGCATTTAATCTTTGAGCTGCAGAGAAGTAGGTAATGTGGCAGGTGAATTTATTGCAGATTCACGGCTCTGCACAGCGTGTTCTTGCAGCTAAACAGTGAAGGTCTGATTAAAAACTGTAGCATGTTTATTGTTTGTGTACATAATACTGTTAGATAGTCAGATTTACTTAGCAAACAGATGAGGAAGTGGTGTGTGATATATAAAATTGGAGCAGTATTGAACTAGAAGAAGAGTTATCTATCCTATATGAAAATGTTTCTGTCTAAGCAGAAAGACATGATTAGTACAATTCTTACATAAAAGAAGGCAGGAAATAATTATACAAAGGAACCTGGAGCTTTTACTTGTTTATGGACTTGGTTGATGTTTTGACAACAAAGATACAGTTACTTTCTTTATTTACTAAGTGGCAACTGAATGTTGCCGAGACTTTGCAAAGGTGTTTTCGTGACTTAGCAGAGAAGTAGCATCAAATGTTAGATGCTGATTTCTGTTGGGCTCAGGTCTCTATCTGAGCATTGTAGGATATACTGAATTATTTTTGTTAAACCCTAGCATGTGGACATTCATCTGTGAATTTTCTGATTATTTTTGTTCTACTTTATTAGCAGAAGCTTCAAAAATGAATGTAGGTATGTAGGTTCTACTTAGTCCTTTCTCTGTTGTGGAAGAAAATGAGGGTATTTATATGTGAGAAGAGAGACATTTCTGAAATTGTGGAAAGCAGGGAATTCCTGCTATTTCTACTTCCAGATAGCCTCCTTTGTCTTTCTCTTTTGCTAACACTTCGTCTGCTTCTGTCCGAGAACCAGCAAGAGGAAGGTGGGTCACATCAGTTGGGATGTAAGGTGAGTAAGAAGCACAGGTTGCAATATATACTGCCTTGAAAAAAGTGTTGTCATTTGGATGTCTGAAAGCAGAAGTAGAAAAAAAAACATTTGTTCAAGGGTGTGGAATAAGCCTGTGACTTGAAGGAGGATAGAACTTTCTAAACTTTCTATGTATAAAGCCAATTTTTTTTTTTAATCTTCAGCAGTGCAGGACTCTATTCGTAGGCAGAGTGCTGAGATATTCCTGAAGAATGCTTACCATCCGTCTGAGAGTGGAGGCTCACCTCTGACTGAAGGTGAAGATGTGTGTTGGGGGAACAAGCCAGTGCACCAAGATATCTGTAGTCCAACACGAGTCTAACACTATCAATACAGGAAGAGCAAAGCGTTCTGTGAGGACATATTAAGAAGATGTGAAATCCACATACACAGAATGTGCAGAAGCTAGAATCTTGAACAGGGGTAGAAAACCAAAAGATCCTATAAATGAAGTGGCCGAGTGTGTTGTTCTGGTCTGCGGGTACCGGAGCAATGCCAACACACATACCACTTGCTGTAGGCAGTGGGCTACAGGGTGCTGTTTTTGAAGAGTTTGGAAAGGACGAAGGTTGTCTACAAACACCAGTTCTGTCACTGTCAGTGTGCTGCACTCTATCACTGCACTGTGATTATCAAACCACTGTGAAGGTTAGGAGAGTGTGCCGTGATGGATGCTGGATGGATAATGCCTCAGTGACTCTGATGTCCTCACTCTGTATTCCTCCACATTTTTCCATTTTCTGTAACGGATACCTCAGATCCCAGAGCAGTGCATAAGTCATCCTGGCAGCATGGGCAAAGAGCTGGTTTGGTCCTGCAGTCTGATCACCAACAGGTGCTAGTGGGGCTGGCACAAACCACCACAAAATTGGACAGTACTGTCTGTTCCATGTGTTTGTATGATGTTATTTTTTCTCTTCCCTCCTATACCTGAGCATGATCATTGTAAAATGTGGTACATCTGGGAGTTATGTGATATTTGTGGAGGGCTTTTAAATTGAATGTCCTGAAGTGTTTCTCTGCAATAACAATCTTGCTCTCTGTGTCATTGTATGGGTTTAAATTCAGTAGGAGCTCAGATCCTTGTGATCATAAAATTCACAGACTTGGAGCTGTTAGGTGAGCATCAAAATGTTGCATGATTCGGGAGGGAAAAGGATCCCCCCATACCTCATGGGTTGCCAGTAGTAACTAAATTTGGCTTAAATTCTGAAGTCGCTGTTAACCTGGCAAGTAAAAAAAGGTGCCAGCCAGCGCATTCCAGAGAATTCTATCACTTGCACTTGCAGATAAGTGCAAATAAGAAATAAACAATGCCTTTTTGAGAGGTATATAAAGTGTCAGCCATATATACAGAATGGCCAAATTAATCCCAGCTGTAATCCTTCCTGTGAAACTGTGCCAAGAATGAGTGTAACACAAGGCAAATAATCACATCAAGGAAACTTTACTTAAGCTCTCCCAAGAAAACTCAAATAATTGCTGATAGATCTCTGTACTTTAATGTATATAAAGATTGATGACTTTTGGTTAAAGCGAATGCTGAAGACTTTGTCCAGGGATATATACTGCTTAATGTGGTCAAAGGAGCAATTAAATGGTTTCTTGCTCTTTGTGTTGGAGTAAAGACTTCAGAGTCCACTGGTGGCTCTTTAGGTCACATAATTGATTCCTGTTACTTCTCCACTAGCTTAGTAAAAGATGAGTGCTAAGACAAACAATTACAAAAATGTTGTGCACTTTTTTTTTTTCTTTTTTTTTAAAGTTGTAAGGCCCTTGTGTATTTAGAAGAATAAAATTAGATAATTATGTTTTAACTCATCAGAAACTAGGATCTGGTGATTTAATTAACCACCTTCTGTACTGGCACTGCTTTTTGATCTTGCAGCATGGATTTACCAGTTCTCTCCCACAGGGACCAGGGCAGGCTTGAGAATTGGGCCCATGGGAAGCTAATGAGATTCTACAAGACTAAGTACAAGGTGCTGCATTTGGATCAGGGCAATCCTGGGTACGTGTACAGACTGGAAGAAGAAGTCACTGAAAGCAGCCTTGCAGAGGACTTGGCAGTTCTGGTGAACAAAAAGCTGGACATGAGCCAGCAGTGTGCACTTGCAATCTAGAAGGCCAGCAGTATCCTGAACTGCATCAATAGGGTGGCAGCAGGGAGAGGGAGGTGATTGTCTCCCTCTGCTCTGCCCAGTGAGAGGGCAGGCCCCATCTGCAGTACTGTGTCCAGGGGGCTCCCAGCACAAGGAAGATGTGGAGCTGTTGGTTCAGATACAGAGGCAAGCCACTAAGCACCTATCCTGTGAATAAAGGCTGAAAAGCATGGCTCATTCAGTCTGGAGAGGAGAAGTCTGCAGGGACACCTTGTTGCAATCTTAGAGTACTTAAAGGAAGCTTATAAACCAGGAGGGATACCAACTTTTTACAAGTTTTGATAATGACAGGACAAGGAGGAATGGCTTTTACCTAAACAAGAGAACATTTGTATAAGATGTTAGGAAGTAATTCCTTATTCAAAGGGTAGTAAGTCACTGGGAGATGTTGGCCAGAGTAGGTGTGGATGCCCC